GGCGTAGCGTTGATGACTCAGGCTTCTATCTCATGTGACATAATCTGACTTATTTTAATCACGTGAATATATGTGTTATCACCTGACTTGGTTTCTCACCGCCCGGCGCGCGTCTCGAACTTCGGGAGAATTAATTGTTGGCCGGCGAAAGAGTAGAATCCCAGATTCCCGAAATACAGCAGCTTCGGACGGGCGTGTTGCTTCTTTCTCGCTCTGCCCGGCTGCTTGGCGATTCCTCAGCTCTTGTTCGATGACCCGACCTCACTAAATTGATTGCGCATCTTTATTCCCTTCCTCTTACGCTGTCTATCCGCCCCGAATTGAGGTGCAGCTCTATGCTTCCTCGCTCTTCGCGTTCATCTTCCCTCTTTCACCTCTGAGCTCCTTACCAATTGATATAGCTTGTCGCAGCATGTCTTTCAAAACCTCATTTGAGTCGAGTCCGCCGTCAACCCCCGGCCATTCCCGCAGTGTCTTCAGTAATCTGTCAGAAACGCCGGCAGGCGCTCCGCCCTCCGCATCCAATTCCTTCACTCCGCAAGGCCATCCTCACTCCAGCAGCATGTTCGGCAGCTCCCAAATGAGCTCTGGCTCCCTCTTCACCAAGTCCGGGAACATCAACCCTAACGATAGTATCTTCGGCTCCTCCATCGCTTCCACCGACTTTGCCCTCCCCCGAGGCAAGAAGACCACTCAAACAAAGTCCTTTGCGAAATCGCAATCGCTGTTCAGTATTACAAACGGCAGCCGGTTTGCCGAGTCGACTAGCTTTGGAAATTCCAACGGCTTCGCGGATTCACGGATGGATGATGACGCCACTGACCAAGATGCGGAGGGTGAAGAGGAAGATCTGCCGGAGGAGCAAGCTGAACAGACCGACAACGCTATGGACTTGGGAACTACAGAAAAGGCCACAGGGTCTCGTTTCAGCTTCCTGGACTCTCAGCTTGGCGATTCTATCTCTGCGCCGTCCGCCGCGCTCGGCCAACGAAAGTCGATCTACTCAAATTCCACCACGCAAGCAAAACGCCCAAAGCTTGACGAAAAGTGGGCAAACCAGTCACCTATACGGAAAGGCAAGCTGTCGCCTAAGAAGGACTCCGCGATGCCGTCGATTGTGCGCAATTTCGCTTCGCGTTCGCGCGTGGCTGCCGTGGAAGAGCCAAGCGAGTTCATCATGCATACTGAGGATGAAGTTTGCCGCATGCACGATGAAGTGAAGAAGTCTGACTACAACAACACTGACTTTGAGGTTGCTCTGTCGGACTCTTGCGACAGACTCGTGGACACGTGGCAGGCAATCGCAAATCAGGATAGCGCTGGACAGAATCCAGGTACCGGCATCGGTCCTGGCGACAATGCTTCGAACATTGCGAAAGCAAGCTTCCTGGCATCCCTGCTGCTGCGGCTCCACCATCCTCCTCAGTTGGCACCCAAGCCCAGCCTTCTAAGCCCCCTGGGATTTCCAGCGCGCAATTTATTACTGGCCCCCGCTCGGACGAATACCCCTACGCCCATACCCAAGCTCCTTCTTGACTGGCTTGATGAGAACCATATGCCTCTTACCGATGAGCTGCAAGCATTGAAAGAGATTGATCCCAATCCTACGGCTTCTCCAAACTTTTGGGAATTGATTAATGCTGCTGTTTTGCGTGGCCATCTCTCTGAGGCTGCGGACCTTTTGCGGTCGGCTGATTTTAACTATGCACGGTCCGCCTTGGAGGATGGATTGCCGCAGTCAGGCTATCGTGGCGCACAGCTGCAGAACATTCAGAGGTGCGTTAATAGGGCCCTCCAGGTCCTTGACTCATGCCCCAGCGTGCAGCACGGGGATTGGGACATTAGAGGCCCCGAGTGGGCTACGTATAGAAAACGTGTGATTGCCGCCGTGACAGATTTGGAGGAGTTCGCCGAAGGCAGTGAACAGGCGTCTCCCGAGCCTCCAGCCGCGGAGAATCGCTTCCAGGCAGTCAACTTTGGATTGAAGCCCACGGCTGCTGCCCCGATGTTCTCTTTTGCTCAGAACGCACGCATGGCCGAGAGCAAAGTCCCGTGGGCCATCTACCAGAACCTTCGGTCCATGTACCGCATTATCCTCGGCGATACGAGCGTAGTCATGGACCACGCAGAGGACTGGATTGAGGCCACGATTGCGATGACTGTGTGGTGGGATGGAGAGGATGATGAGGAGGGTTCCAGCGCCGACTTGTTTTCGAGATTGTCCAGACCCAACGCCTCCCCCAGCAGTATACGGAACGCCTACCTTCGCCGGCTTGACCTGGCCTTCAGTCATGCAACCAGCGCCGAGCCCGCTGACGCTGGTTTCCGCGTCAACTCGATGAGCAGCCTTGAAGTCGGACTTGCTTCCGTGTTTGAGGGCAACGTGGATGGTGTGCTAGAATTGCTTCAGACTTGGTCGCTGTGTGTAGCGGCTGCCGTTGTTGAGTTCGCGTCTATTGGCGGCTGGCTAGAGGCTGGGGCTGGTCCTAAATCTATGCCCGGCCTTAGCAAAAATGACCTGATGGTTCTTTCGTATGGACAGGCTGGTGATGCACCTACGCGACGTGTTCACAAGAACGATGTGATTAGCGAGTATGCGTCTGGCTTGTCTGAGAGGACCACCTTGGAGTGCGAAACGGGTGTGCGCCAGGGATGGGAGATGGCCATCGAGATCCTCAGCCGCTTGGATGATCGCGAGAAACTGGAGACGAGCGTTGCCGACCTGCTCGAAAAGATACCACTGACCAGCGTTGACCAGGTGGATAGAGTGGTGCAGCTGTGCTGCGAAATGGATTTGGATCAACACGGAAGGAAGGTCGCTGAGGTAGGTCGTCATCTACGGGTACTATATGAACGTCAGCTAACCTGCTCAGCGCTATGGTGATAATATCGTCGCAAACTCTCAGGAATATGGGCTTGCCCTTCTGTGCTATGCTCGCGCACACGACCGACGCAAGGTCAAGTCCATCGTTGACCTGCTCATCTCATACAGTCTTGTTCAGTCCCGCGCCTTCCCTGAATCCCCCGACCTGGACGAGCAGCTTGAAGCTCTGATCAAAAACCCCAAGTTTGGCTTGGGGGCGATTGCGCACACGGATGAAGAGGCTGCTACTATCCTCCAGTACTATTTCAGTGGATATGCGACTCTGCGTCGCTTCTACGAGATTCGCGACGAGGCGATCAATCTTAAGGAAGGACAGCGACCTCGGTTCAAGCCTCTAGCCAGACGGCGAGCAGCGGCCCAGGCTTTGGTGGCGGTCATTGGCAGTGCGGCGGACAGCATCTACGGTGGTCTGTACGATCCCGATCGTGATGCTGTCGTCCAAGTCGATGGACTGTTGACATTGCTTGGCGAAGCCCTGCCCTTTATTGGCCGTAAGATCCTATCTTAGTACCCTTCCCCAAGACCCTATCCTAACCATCCGCTCGGCAGAATCCACTCCCCTCCTCTCCGTCTCCCAACAATTCACCATCCTCTCCGCCATCGAGGACCTCCAGACCGTGACTCCGCGCGTCTACGCCCAATGCGAAGAATGCTTCCGCTCCACGCTCATCCAATACCACTCCAGCAAGCGCGCCCACACCTCCGACTCCTCTGTCCTCCCTCCGTCCCCCCGCACCATGCTCAAGAAGTCCGTCTCATCCCTCACAGCATCAAGCACCTTCTCCCTCATCGGCAACGACATCATCGAATCCGCCCGCACTCGCTCCGGCTCCGGTTCCGTCGGCAGCTCCGGCGTTCTCGTCCCTCGCGCAGACGCTGACTCCCCCACTACCTCCACCGAACGCGGCTGGGACTGGCGTGCCGGTCTACCAGAGGACGCAACGGGCGAGGATATCCTCCGTATTCTCCGGGTCGGTCTAGCGAAGGGATTGAGCCATGGGGCTCTTGGATCGATCTAGATTTTCTTTTGTTGATGATGGTGAAGAAGAGGAATTAAGCCAAGAAGCAAAAGTCAAATTTTAATACATCGGATGTAGTTGTGTGGAGTGGAGTGGAGCGGAGTGGAACGGAGTAGTTGTGCTGTATTATTGTATTCTATATCTATACTACTATGTTCTCTCTGCTTGCAGCATGCATGAGTATAACACTTTTTCTTATTCCATTGTTGGTTGGTTGGTTGGTCAGTTGCTCTTTTCAAGACCAATTAGAGTCTGAGATTTCTCTCCCTTACCTTCCTTCCTCTTCCTCGTCCGATCTCGATTTAAATTCAAAGTAGTAGTATAACACAACTACACTGTACACACAACAAAGCAGTAGGAGAGAAAAGCACCCTGCACAACAATTGATACTAATGATGACCAAAAAATAAAAGTAAAAGCAATATGTACAACCCATATGCCAGCATACTAAGTCATCCATGATCATTCTAAAAGAGTTAACTATATGATATTTTTTTTCTCTATTCCTCACCGACGGTGTCAATGAATGCATGCATGCACTTTATATTAGTAGCAGTACGTAGTACTTGCCTATAATAACCATCAATTACATAAAATACATGCATGCATTGCATACTTTTCAACTTCCAATTCATACCACATATATAGAAAGCTACACATGAGTAGCACAATGACCAATTATATTACATTGTAAGTAGAGGATATCAATAAACGCAGCACATTATTAGTGGCAGAATAAATATAGTACTAAATGTAGAAAAGAAACTGATCTCTGCTGTTCTTCAGTTAGTATTCCTCGACTTAAATTGCATTTTATGTCTCTAACACGCATGTTTTATCTATGATCAGTATCAATTTAATTAAGCCCATGTGAGGGCGTTTAATTCCTGGTAGGGGAGATATGATATGGTATTAGCATTTATGCCGTTCTTGGAAAGTGCTGTTGCTTTCCGCTGTGGATACAGGTGATGAGTCCTAGTACTAGGTATCTTTAGGGGCTATTGAGCCTCCTCTTTACATGTGGGTTATGGTTACATGAATAGATAGGCTGTGGAGACTTGGTAGAATACGTGAAAATCAAGTTATCCGCTTGGTCACCGCAAGTTTGATTCTTCATGGGATCTGTAATGCGAATGGACAAGTCATTCAGCATGGCTTAACTTTAACCCTCGTCTAACGGGGGAATTTTCCTATCGGTAGATCATATTTCATGCACAAGTACATAGCCATATTACTGCGAAAAGTAGATGATTAATGATAACGAATGTAGGTAGGCCAGCTAGATAATGCATAGATAGATGTTGGTATCCCCCAACTGGCGTATCCCGGATACGACCCCCATTTTTCTCAATCAAATCCTCCTCTATTACCATAGTTTAACAAGATAAAACTCTCCACCCAGTCGATCGTCGCACGTTTCTCGTCTCATCGTGACTGGGGATTCTGCGACGCAACACAACGCAACGCTATGCAGAATAGGCTGACTGAACACGCGCACACACACAGCATTATAAAGAAAACGGTGACGAGAGCGCAGCCCCACAGCGTTGACAATAACAAAAGCATATATCTAGCAAGAGATTTGGCGAACCGGCCAGGCCAAAATCGAATCGAACTGAGCATGCATCAAACAGGAATGAAAATCGAACGACGGTTGAGGCAGACGTCCCGCGACTGCTGCCTCTTGCTATCCCAGAGTGGATGGGTTTAACCCTTGATGCTGGAGTATCCTGAATCCGGCAGGGTTGGGTCTCGAGCGTTGTTTCCGTTGCATCTCAATGAGTGTCGGGAACAGGTGTAGCCGACCAGGACGATTTTTTCCTGCACCACATGGCCACGCTGGCCGTATGCTTCACACGGGTCTACCGCGTGCTGAAAGTAAAGACATCTGCACACCGAAAATCGCTCCACCAGTAGATAACACATGATGAGGTGGTGATGGTAGTAGTAATCGACCGATGAGATTGGACTTGGTGGTAGATAAAGAGAAAGAAGAAAGACACAAATTGAAAAGATCAAACGTCCCGCGTGGTAATGAGACAGGTCTGAGGGTGGTGGTCAAGGAATGACTGAAGGGTCGAGGCGTAATGTGGTGAGTGCGATGGAGGTGGGGAGTGGATCGCGGATGGAATCAATTATAAAAACACCGACCATTCAGGCGACCCAGGACCATGATAGAAACCAAGTTCCAAGTGACGACAATACCAAGGATCTAGAACTGGCGAGCTTGTCATTCTAAGGCGCCTTGATGCTGAATGCGACTGCAGACGGTCGATGTAAGGCATCCATAAAAGAAACCTAAAGGAACCCTTAATTCTATGCTCGGGAACAATCTGGAAGAACTCGGTCCATCACGAATAGGACTAGCGACAAGGGAAGAGTAAAGAGGGAGAAAGGAGAAAGGGGGAAAAGAAAGGAAGAGAGAGAAAGCGAGAGCGAGACGGAAAAGGGCCACCGAGAAAGCAAAAATGTAGACAATCAAGGAAGAGGAGAGAATGGAGGGGAAAAAGAAAAGAGGGAATAGGAAAAAAGAGGGAAATGAGGAGGACCCATCCTGCCGGGCAAACGTCAACCCATAGCAGATTGGTCTATTTCGGATTTCGCAATACTCGTAGGGCAAACCGGAGTCGATCAGTGGGGGACGCTTGTCGGGCTGAAGGCCGAGTAGTGCAGAACTAGGCCACGCCCATCCATGACAGCTGATTCCGACGCTTTCCCTGCTTTTCTGAGGGGTTACCGGGCACCGTTTACCCACTAGAAGGGCGCCGTTAAAGGCTCCCCGGGACCCCTGAAAGGCATGGGAGTCAGAGGATGCAGACTGCAGAAGAGCAGTCAGGTGGACATTATTGGTGAGCTGGACCTCGTGTAGAGGCTGTAGCAGAGAAGGGGAGGAGGGGAAGCAAATCCAGCTGGGGGTCCGCTATAGAGGATTCGCTATTGGAAATTGCTTCTCCGTGCCGTGGGCCGCTGGAGCGAGTTCAGTGTCGGTGCGGTTCTCCGGGGAGGACCTTGGGAGCCGTAAGGCTGCAGCGGGACCCGGCCGGTGATTTGAGGGAAATTCCTTAGCCAGGAAATTAGCCCAGCATAGCGTGGATGAAGGTGGTTAGTTGTCCGAGATGGAAGAGGGGATTGGAGGAAGGCTGAGGCTGAGAAGCAACGGGGGACGGAGTGGCCGGTTTGGATGAACCACTCAAAGCCAGGATGGACTGGCCCCTGGCACCGTAGGGCTGAAACTGGGATGAGCTGGACAGACGCCCGGACGGAGGAGAAGCGAGTCAACCGCGGACGATGGAGGGGGGAAAAGTGGGCATCTTGTTCGTTGCTTGGGGCCCGAGCACAAGTTGCGATGGTTGACTGGTTGACTTTGTTGCCCCAAAATAGTAATCCCCGTGACTTGACCAGATTCGGAAAATAGGGCTTAACCAAAAGATCCACCCTCTGGTGGAGGCCTGAGTCAGACGCGTCAGGCAACCATCCAGTCAATTCCCCTTCGACTTTCCCAGTCAAGAAAGTGATCAAACTTCTTCTTCAATGATTCCCAAGGTTTGTCTTGTTCGGAATGTCGGAAATTTCGGAATACTTCCAATGAAAAGGCAGCTGTTAGAAGATCATGACAAATGGATTGATGAATTTATCCACGTCTACAGTCAAGCTTTTACTGTACGCTCATTAGGACTCGATATGACTATCCACATCAATTTACTCGAGGCCGACGACCACGTGTATAGAATTAGACTCAGACCATAATATGACTAGACTGCTCTTACTGCTATCTATATCCTGAAACCAGCTGAAGAACCATACTAGCGATTAGCGAGAGGATTTAAAATGCTTGCCTAAGATTGGCATCAGCCTAGAGTGTCTGGATCCCGCGGACACCGGTCATCCCAGGGTATTGCATACGTTGCAGCCTAGCTGATAAAGAAAGTACTGTGCAATGGTAGAAATCCAACTACTATCTAAACTCCGCTGCAACAAACTCGGACAATCCCCGAAATTGTCCAAATAATACCAAATCGGCTAAAAGACTTAACTGAAAAAGAACAGGTCTCGATTCTTACTTACTCTTATCGAAAATCTATATGAACCCCTATAAATAATTACAACAAACCCATCAACCCCAATCACTAGTAACTGCGTGAAATAACCCTCTCCAAAAACTCAAACCCCTCCCTCTGCAACTCCCACGTCCTCCCTCCAACCTGCATTCCCATCGCAAACGTATGATCCTCCCCGGGCACCTCCACCATCCCACACTCGACCCCATTCTCCCTCAACACCCTCCACAGCTCCCGACTAACTTCAATACTAACCTTCGTATCACAATCCCCATGCACAATAAACGTCGGTGGAAATCCCTTGCCCACATGCACCACCGGATCAATCTCCCTCACATCCCGATCAGGATAACAAGCCTGCAGGACCGTCCCATTAGCCACCTGCGTCAGAGCGAAGGCATCCCGCGGGCGGGAGAAATCCGGGCCCTTGGCCTTGCTACGGCCAGAAAGCTCTGTCTGGCCCTCCAGCGAGATAGAACTATCCGTAGGGACGGGATATTCATCATAGATCTTCTGCAAGAATGCAGGGTCAAGGGGTGGGAGAGTACGTTGGACGTCGGGGAGAGGTTGGGTCCAGAAGGGATGGGTGAAGTGCACGGCGCCGTAGAAGTCGAGGATTGCGGCGACGGGGCGGGGGACGGAGTAGCCCTGATATAGGTTATTAGCATTTCTGGATGTGCGTATGGTAGGATTAGGAAAGGAGGGAACTTACCAATGACAATGCCAGTGTACCTCCCGATGACGTTCCGAACGCCATAACCCGATCCATATCGACCCGATAGCCCGCTGCATCTGCACCTGCGCCGGCAAGGAACGCATCTAATTGCCCATCGTAGATCCACGCCAACAGGTCCCGAATATCAGTGATTGGCCCCTCGAGCATGTTCACCTGTGGACAGAGGCGATGGTTGGGTACCACGACGATCCAGTTCCGGGCGAGGCAGTCGTCGACTTGGGGCATGGAGACCATGCGCGAGTGGCCGAGCATGAAGACGCCGCCGTGGATGTTGATTACTGTGAAATTCTTTAGTACTAACTTCAAGTTGATATATATTGTAGTGGAGGGATTAGACGTACAAACGGGATATTTCTTTGGCGTGTCATTTTCAGTAGTAGTTGTGGTTGGTGCCGGTGGGAGGTAGATGTCGGTGGTGATTTTACTGCCGTTGGCTTCTTTGTATTGCACGGTGAGCGGGGGTGGGGGCATAGTGGCGGTCTTTACTGTTGGTATATATAGATTGTGTTAGTTTAATTGCTGTATGAGAGAAGAAATGTAGCTAGAGGACAGCCCCAGATTTTAAAGTAGGTCTCGGTGCTCGGGATATCCGATTGCGGGGGAAAGCTTGGACTTTCCGACGGATTTCATTCCACGAGGTGAAGTTCTCTCCCGGCTATTGCTGCCGAGCATCTCACTATGACTACATACTACTAGTGGATAGCTATTATAGGAAACAGTATAGTGGTTTTGTGTTGACTACAGGCTAGGGATAGGCAAGTCATCACTCATCATTCGTTTCCTCTGTAAACAACGTAGCTAACATGACCTCGACGTCGCTCATTTCATTTCATCCTTCATCCACCTGGCTATACCATCAGTGCCTTGTATAGAGTGGTCTTTGTCTTTTTTTCCATATTCCTTCCCATATCTTCAACTATCCCATCTCCTCCGCGTAGCGCATCTGGCTCCTTCATGGCAAATTGCCATGATCCAGATGGCCGGTTCCTTTTTATTTTTTTTCTTGGTTTTCTTTTTTCTATTGCTTTCGTAGCATTTACGCTTAAGCGACTTCAATTGGCGCGGCAGGTTACTGCCAAAGGAGTGACTATCCTCTTTTATGCAAAGAGGAGGGACATCCAATGCACGGCGTGTTCGGTCTTTCGACGCGGGAAGCGACTCCCATGAGGGGTGTTCAAAAATGATCAAAGCAAGGTAAAAGCACCAACAAGTTGTTATGATTTACCTGCGCACCACAATGCCTTGACGACGGACACCGCTGCGGGCACGGCGGTACTCCTCATCACTGTCGGACTCGGAGCAGCTAGCCTCAGACGACTCGGTAACATAGCCGCATCGGCTGCCGCCACAGTCGAGCTTGACCCGGTCGCCCTTGCGAGTGATTCCGTAGCGCTCGCAGTGGCAGATCGGGGTGGGTGGGTCACTCATGGACGACAGGGAAGATGGGGAAGTGCTGCCGGATGAGCGAGACGACAGGGACGAACCAACCGAGCTGGGCGGGCTGTTGGAGAGCGAGTACTCGTCCGACAGACGGGAGTCGGCAAACCGCATGGTGAGGTCATCCATGGTGGGAGCAAAGTCCGTCTCCCGGATTTGACGGGAAGCATAGGGCTTGGACGGCTTGGGGTGGTGGATCTTGGACGGAGAAGGAGCACGACCCTTGACGAAGTCTGTGGAGCCCCGGTGGTGCTTGGGGGCGGGCTGGGAAGACTTCTTGCCACCGGGAACATCGAGGATGTTCAACTTGCGGCCGGTGGTGGGCTCGACCGTGTACTCAACAGCGGGATCATGAGAGACATGGTAACCATCCATGATGTACTGCGGCAGGGTTAGCTTGCGGGCCATTCGAGTCTGCGGGCGAGTCACATACGTAGTACCAGTAGCGACCACCCAGCTTCAGCATGGAGGTCTGGAAGCGGAACTTGCCAGTCCATGCGCCAGGCTTGACATCATCCCGGGAAAGGGGGATCTGACGAGAGTAGTTGTCCCAGGAGCCGACCAGGTGGACGGTCTTGACATTGGAAGAGGTGCGCAGCGAGAACTTGAGCTGAACAGCAGACATGTTGAGAGAGATTGACCAGGTTATACTAAGAA